TGGAGTCGGTTTAATCTTTCTGATAGGAAACTACAAAGCAAACAGCAAAAGTGAGAGGGGCAATCTCAGTGCCAGCACAATTAGACGGCAACAAACAAACTTATGGATGTTTACCAGGATTGTGGGCATGCTTCTCCAGGAAATGTGTGTACTATAGGTTTTCTGGAATGCCACTCCCAGCATTGAAAAATAATATGGCGTACAGGTGGATAGAAATTGCCCAACATTGTCATTTAAAATAGAAGGAATACATCTCCAGTCTATATACTGTTTAAAGTCAGTTTTAAAACAATTGCCCAATAATTTTTTAAAGAAGAATTCTGCCCAACTAAACACTGACTGGAGGGGTTGCAACCCCCAACCTCGTAATATGCCTATGGACAGAAATTCTCCCAGGCAAAAAAAGCATTAAAATACAATGTTTTAATACTGTTAATATGACAACTTTATAATGTTTTAGTGTGGTCATACTGTATTTTGTGTTTGTAAAAACCTTGATGTTGAATTTTTCAAACGAGAAATTCTGCGTCTTTTATTATTAGGTTTCCCTGGGGGTATCACCATAAGTATATACCCGTTTAAAATATATACTTTTACTCCAAAATAGCCGAATTATATAATAAAATGAAAAAAATACAGTCAGGGCAGGTAAACATAAGCATACCTAACCTTAAAAATTGCATTAAACTTAAAATATGTACGAACAAAAATGCGTATATTTCAAAATTATCATGAAAAATAGTGATTAGTACAATAATTTCCTTCTCGCCATGATTATTTATCAGGGGGTCTATTCCCGCCATCGGCGATAGAATATAGCGAAAGTACCCCATTTTCAAACCGCAATTACTTGTCGGTTTAGTGGAGCAAACTCATGTTTTAAAGTAACAGTAGAAAGAAAAAATCTTCCCGACTTCGATGACGTGTTTTGTTTTTATTTTCCTCAAAAAAAAGTGAGTTTGCTTCTGCATTATATCAAGGTCATTTTATTGGCGTGTGCACTGACCCGAATCAAGCATAATTACAATACGTAATTAGCATAACTAAAAAGCAATTCCTGTACCAAACAAGTCAAAAACAGTTTAATTAGGGTCTTAAATAATACAAATATAAAAACATACCTTCGAAAAAACGAGATAAACGTAGCCAAAATCGCAATGTATTTCAACAACTTTTTGCCAAACGTTCGTTGAAAATTATAATTGTGAATAATAATTAGACGCAGTGCATTGTGGGAAGACCCTCATTCCTCCTCTGGCCTGGCTATATGCCGAAAAAAGTCCCAAATATCCAAAGAATTAATAATGACATTCTAAAAATCGTAAATATAGTTTTGTCGGGGCGGGGGGAGTTGCCCCCGCCCCCCTGCGGTGTACGGCCCTGCTTTATAGCCCAATACAATATCATTCAATGCGATTTATCTAGAAGTCGACAGCACCTCTTTCGGTGGCAGCTGTATTCTAGCAACTGCATAGGCATATAGCCACATATAGTTATACCATAAATGTGTTGCTTGTAAAATAATGGGTACTGCATGCCTTAATGCCTCATATTCATATAAACTTTCCAAAAATTGGCTTTGAAGAATTATTATGATCAGTGGCAAGATGGTAAAAGAGTAGGCTACATATACAACATTTAATTCCGTTCACTATTTCTTAAAGCAATGTCATGCATGCATGCTAAATAACAATATAAAAAGTTTGATATCATATATAATGTTTTGTATATAATATTTGTTATCATATTCTTTACCTGCAGTGCATGGGTTATCACATTAATATTATAGCAGCTGCCTTATATTTGGGACGCGACACGACCTTTCGAAAAGTTGCGCTTGTATAAACACAGCCGTGGCTATATAAGCCTAAAAGTCAACAATTTTAGGTTATTATTGAAATTGCTCAAAAACAATTTATAAATTGCTGTGTATAACCGAAAAAGTCTATATGGTCATATCCGTTTATAGTTATAATTTAATAATAAAAGTATGTTCGCTATACTAAATTACTGCAAAATATATACTTATATACACGCTGTAACTGTAGTCTGTATGTATACTAATATACACACAATTTTCGCCAGCTTCCCTAGCAAACAAGTTTAATTTGTTCTCAGTAGAACGCTTGTTGGGACCTCGGTTGGGACCTCGGTTGGGACCACTGAATATATTATCTATAATTTCATCATAGACATATAGATAGTCCCCACAACTACTCGTGGAATTAAAAATTTCTTCTTTCTGTGAAGTTTAGGGGGTCCAATTCCGCGGAATATCAGCTAGCGGATATGTACCGTGGGGTCCGAATCCGGCTATAGCGGATCTGGACCGGGGGTCCATATCCGCGGGGAGTCCAAATCCGCTGTGACAATGGGACGAAGTCAAACCGGAATGAAATTGTGAACATGTTTACACGAGACCGATCAATTTATTCTCCTTGCCAGGCAATTTTCGTTTTTAAATAACATTTGTTAGCATGTGTTGTCAAGGTTACAGCCGAGACCCTGTCTGAAATGTATTTGTGTTTACATTCATCCCAGTCTGAATTCATGTCGATCTGAAGTCGGTCCAGCAGGCGGAATGACTTGATACCGGTCTGAATTATTTTTGTCCCGGTCTCATGTAAACATCTATCATATAACTGAAAACTATGCTATGATCGAAACGAAATGGTTCCGGTTTGACATCGTTCCGGTCCCATGTAAACGGGGCCTTCGCTGTTGTCATACTATAATTCATGGCCGTAGGATGCATGAAAATGCATGAAAACGCATGCCTAAACGCCTTAATGCATGAAAACGTGTTTCAGAGAGTTGAAAATTAAAAATTTTCCCGGGGCATGCCCCCGCCACCCCCTCCCCCATGGCGGCAGGTCGCACCTTCGGCGCTCGCCGTTCAGCCCCCTAACTTTAATCATCTTCCTACGGCCCTGCAATTTAATTTGAATTCCATATCTCTCAACTCTCTGGCTGCTGTAAAGACTACTATGTCTACTATATCAAATATCTTCCTAAAATACTACAGACTATGAAATCATTCAGTCTTGGTGTTTTGTCGTCATGGGGATTTTTTCTTCATGTGTGAAATTTTCCGCATAAAAGTTTCCCGAGAATTTAACTAGCTCAATCTGAAATATATTATGGTCCTTGTTAACCCATTTACTGGCAGTACTCTACCCACTGAGTAAAATTGTCCGGCGTTTATAGACAGTAAATACTAAAGTATGTCGCACTGCCAGCTAATGGGTTAATAAGAGACATTGGCAGATTAGTTTGTTAACCCATTTACTGACAGTATACTTTAGCAGTGACAAGTAAAATTGTCTGGCGTTACACAGTGACAGTGTAACATTGTCTGGTGTTAGACAGAGATTGCCTGCAGCTAATGGGTTAATAGACCTTAATACTGTTTATTCACTATTGACCCCATGGCCCCATTTTTATGTTTGTCATATACTCATGTTCAACCTCGCAAGCCAGGGTCTTTATACCTCCGCGAGGGCTACGACAAAGACCCTGGTTGACACTGGTCACGTGACCACCCAGATTCAGGGTGGTATCTAATAGGCGCCTTTTTTGCTACTTAGGGAGGAGTGGTAGGGGTAATATGACGCTGGAATATATATATATATATATATATATATATATATATATATATATATATATATATATATATATATATATATATATATATATATATATATATATATAGTTATAAATAATTATATGGTAATACTGTTACAGTAAACAGTGGGTAAACTATTGATATTTTAAACATAAGAGGAGATTTTTAAAACAAAATATTATTTTAAAATATGTGGCGGCTTTTAAACTTAAAAGCTTTTTACTCCTTTTCGGCAATTACAACGTTAGAGGATCTTTCGCACCTTGACCTTGTCAGCCGGTATTTCTTCAAAGAAACACCTATCTGTAGAAAATAAAATACGAAGGCTAACGCGTAAACAAATCAATTCAGTTCTGAGTAGCTACAAGCCATGGCTGAGCGAAAAGAAACACCAAAGAAAGTTTATCCGAAATCTGCTATAGATTCGGGATGTAAGTGTCGTCTCTGTGGTGGGATTTTCGAAAAAGCACGCTGTAAAAATCTTTTTAAAAAGGGGAACGAAGGTCGCCTGCGAAGCGCAGAAATTGTTAACGGTGGCGCCCTTATCTGCGAGGAAGGATTTCCTCATCTTTTATGTCGGGCTTGTGATAGACGCTTGGAGAACTTTGAGAAGTTTAGAAAAGTTGTTCGTGACGTGCAAAATGGTTTAACTCGGGAGAAAAGATGTACTGGTTTATCACCTTCCGCACCTGTAAGCAGAGCCAAAAGTTTGAGATCTCATAATTTGGATGCCCCGTCCCGTCGTGGCCTCTCCTTTAGTTCCAGTGGAATCTCGAGCGATACTAGTATGCCGCAGTCAACGCCTGATTCAGCAAGTCAGCCATTCCAGGTAGGTTGTGATTGAAAAATGCACAGTAGTCAATATAGCGGTTTTATATACTCGGTTTATACAATCTTGTATTTTCCAAAAACACGATCTTAGCCTATGATTTACGTTTCTATAAAAATCTACATCATATAAATGAGTGTTTTTTTGTAGATTATCCTTCCGGTCCAACCTACAAGAACGGATGAATCATTTTTTAAAGGAATCTTGGAGAAGATAAATGTAGAATTGCGTGGTGTGGCTAGAGGGGACACGAATTCGATGCTTCGAAGTCGCAGTTTTGACAGGCTAAGCAACTTTTCCGACGAGCAGCTGGTAGAAGAATTAAAGACCATGTGTCCTATTACATATAAACTATTAGCTTGTATGCTGGAATTAGAAAATTGTAGCGAGAAAAAGATTGCTGCGCTCAGTTTGATATACGGGGTGATTATGTTCAAGAGGTGCAAGGAACTCGGCTTTATCCAAAGCATTAACACCATTATTCTGTCAGACAGCGGTGCGAACACCGAGGTACTGTAGCCTGATTTTTTTGCAGGGCAGCGTTCTTAATAAAAGCCGCGTTAGATGTATAAGAAGCAATTTTGACTGAAAATAATTGCAACTTGCAAAACAACAGTGATGATGTCTGTATGTCATTAAAACTGTGCTCAAACTGGCTGTTTATTAGTACCGGTTAGTACCGGAGATTTCTAAATATTAATTGAACATCTTGCATGCAGTTACATTGCCGGATGTTTAATAACGGCCCATTTATTGTTTATCTAATATGAAAAGTCTGATAATTTTTTTTCATGAGTTCTCTATCCTGAAAAACATTGTCATTGATACAGAAACAATCTTGCTACCCATTCATTTTGTTTTTGCCTGCCTTTGGGAGGCAAATTGTGCATTTGTGCCTTCGCAAGAACTTTGGGCAAACAGGGAAACAAAATATTGCGATTCACAAAGATAAGTTTCCTACTGTTACCACAACTATATTTCCTGTTTCGCCAGGGTAGAAGAAAAATGTCCTTGTATTAATTTAAAACACGCGTAGGAGTGCTTTATCAGATATAAAACGCGAGGTGAAAGCCAAACATTTTATATCTGATAAAGCACGACTACAAGTGCTTTAAATGGCTTAAAAAACGATCCATGTTTATGAGTTCATTGGCGAAGTAATTTTCAAAATCAACGTTTTTAAGCCGAGAACTGATCAAAGCTAAAGTAACATGAAATTTTATCACATATATAAACATCAACAACAGGGTTGTAATTTTCTTTGTTTTTTTTTTAGTTTTTAAGTAAGTTTAATCCCAATGTATGTGGTATGCTAATCCTCAATGCTAATGCCTTTTCAAATGCTTTTTCATGTTTGATTGTGCTTCAACTGCTTCAAAAGAATAACTGTCTGTTTAAAACTTTTAAATGTAAATTTTAATGTTTAAATACCACATACAAATCACATAATTGCAAATTTTTAGACCTAATAGATTGTTAATTCAACTTTGTATTTCTGATTAAATATACAGTGTATTATATTTTTACACTCTTTCCAGGAATTAATGTTGTTATTCTTACATTACTTTATTTTCCTATTCAGGTTTATGAGAGGTTCAACAAACTTGGTATATGCTTTGAAAAGACAATGAAGTACAAGATTCAAGATGAGATTGGCACACATTTCCTGGACAAGGTGGTTGAGCAAGTAAAGGCAGGAAACACTTTTTCATTTGTCCTGGATAACATTGATTGGGAAGTGAAGGTGCACGAAATGCGATCAGATAATCAAAACCAAAGTGTACATGCTGTTGCAACATCTTTGGTATTTGATCGTGTTTCGTGCAGCCATTTAGATGACACAGAGCCGCAGCGGTCTTTAGCTGAGACTGATATCAAACAGCTTGTCGAACTGAATGTTAATGATGCTGAACAGCAGCGACAAAGTTACAAGATGATAGCAGCTAAAATCCTATGTGAGCAAATCCCAGCATTCAGCTTTCTTAAGACATTGGTAAGCAACA